TTTGGAACCTGACCATGTTGATAAGTGAGGAACGAGTGTAGTTAAATACAATTTATCAAAATTGTAATTTGTGTTTTTCTAGGAATTTAACGGGATGAGGCTTTTGCTTAAATGGAGAAATATTTGTTTTTATTTGCAAGAATTAAAATGATGCAAATGCTTGAATTTAATACTTTCGAGAAGCAAAATGAAGCAATTTTTGTTTCTTTTTTATTGGTCACAGGCTAACAGCATGCTTTCTGAACCAGGCTCACTGAAGCTGAAAGCTTGCACCAGTAATTGTAAAATCACATTTGTCCTTTTTGCCATAAGCTCTTTTGGAGATGTTTTGAATACTGTGATTCTCCCTGGGTGGTGCAAATAGTTAATGCACACAGCTGCTAACTGAAAAGTTGGAAGTTTGAGTCCACCAGAGGTGCCTCGGAAGAAAGGCCTGGCTGTCTATGTCTGAAAAATCAGCCACTGAAAATCCTATGGAGCACAGTTCTACTTGGACACACATGGAGTTGCCATGAGTTGGAACTGACTTGATGGCAACTGGTTGGACCTTAGTTTTGACTGTTTGTTGGTATGTCAGCTGCTGTATTTTCACCATCCCTCTTACCTTAAAAGGAGGTAAATGGATTTGATACACACTAGTAGAACAACTGGAAACAGCCCGTGTTTGGGATTTGAGATTTGATAGCACCCCAGCTGGTTAAAGATAGTGCAGGGCAGCAGCAGTCTTGAGTTTATGTGCTGAATGTTACTCGATTTTAGTTTCCTTGTTTTTGTTTTAAACCTTAATTGGTAATTTGTATATTGTGTGTATATTTTGGGAACTCTGCTTTGGATATTTGTGCTACTTTAAAAAAAAAAAATCTGTGTGCTGTCAATATACATTCATTTTACAAGATAAATTTGTAATTTTATTATTTATTAGCATTCACGTTTTATTATTCCCTCTGCTGTCTCAGCCAGAAGCCCTGGTAACACAGTGGTTAAAGCACTTAGCTACTGAGCGAAAGGTTGGCAGTTTGACTCACCAGCTGCTCAGCAGGAGAAAGATGTGGCAGTCTGCTTCCGTAAAGATTTACAGCCTTGGAAACCCTCTGGGTCAGTTCTGCTCTGTCTTGTAGGGTTGCTGTGAGTCAGAATCAACTCGGTGGCAGTGGGTTTGGTTTTGGTATTGATGTCTCAGAACTATAAAAACAAAATCTAAAGAACCAGCATTGAGAATTGAAGTGCTGCCACTTCAGGCATGGTCTAGCCTTCATGAAAGTGGCTATTGTTACCTTGGTCTCGTGCATGTAGGAGAATAGTCACACATAAATACCCTACAGAGAACAGTGTGACACAGAAATCTGAAGGTACTTTAGAATGAAGTTTAATTGGAGGAATTGCTTGGAAAGTAGTTTGAAACTTTTTGTAAGTACTCTACAGCTTTCACTGAGCATGTTCTCAAGTTTTAGGTTTGTTTTCTTTGTTAAAAATTTTAGGATAAATGGAAACCTTTTTTCTTCTTTTTCCATTTTGATTTGGAGGGTTGGGGTGAGGAAAAGGTTCTACTGAAGGAAGATTTTTTTTTTTCTCTTTTCCCTAAAGATTTTAGATTTTAATGCTTCAAATCTTTGGCTGTAACTCTTAAGAGCATTATCAGGGACTTGAGGCCCACCCTAGAGATTGTCTTTCTAGTCCAGACTTTATAGATATGGGGATCGAAGCCCGGAAAATTTATGTGTGCTGTAGCTCAATGCTTCTCAAGCTATCTGTGGTAGAGAACCAGTTCTTTTTCCCCCAATGACTGACAGACCAATAATTTTGTAAACTATAATAAAAATGAAGTACTGGGAAAAGTAATTTTAGAAAGACATACACAGTTGTGAATGCCTACTCTCAATTTTTTTGTTTATCTCGGTGTAGATGGATTACAAACAGTTCTTGAACCAGACCAGTCCATGGACCACACTTTGTATCATACTGCCCAAGGTCAACACAAAAAAACCTGTTGCCATTGAGTCGATTCCAGCGCATAGCGACCCTATAGGACAGAATAACCTGCCCCATAGGGTTTCCAAGGAGCGGCTGGTGGATTTGAACTGCCGACCATTTGGTTAGCAGCCAAGCTCTTAACCACTGTGCCACCAGGGCTCCTGCCCAAGGTCAGGGGTTGGCAAACTATGGCTAGTGGGCTACGTCCATCCTACCACCTATTTTGTATCGCTTGCAAGCTAAGAATTATTTTTACATTTTTAAATGGTAAAAAAAATGAAAAGAATAATATTTTATGACACATGAAAATTAAATGAAATTCACATTTCAGCATCCCACAGTTAAATTGTTATTGGGAGCAGCCTTACTGATTTATGTATTGTCTATGGCTGCTTCTGCCCTGTAATGGTCAGGCAGAGGCAGGGATGAGCAACTGAGACAGACACCATATGACCCACGGAGCCTAAAATACTGACTGTCTGGCCCTTTACAGAAGAAGTTTGCTGACCCCTGCCCCAGGGCATGGCATGGAATTAGTAGTTAGTGGTATAGTTGAGAGTACAGACAGGGTCTGCATTTTAATGTGTGCTTTTGAATTATCATTGGCTGACATGTGTTGACAAACTTTGGGCTCAGCACCTTTGCAGACCTATTTATGTTCTCATTTAATCCTCGCACCAATCCCCTAACTTTTTATAAAAGTTAGATACCTTTAGACCCCTGCTGGGCTAATTAGATAGCTTTACTTCTCCCTTTTAAAAACTGAGTTTTGTTTTTTTAACCCCGTATCTGGTGAATTAAAAATGATTAAATATTTTTTCAAGGAATCCCTGGGTGGTGTAAATGGTTAATGCTCTCAGCTGCCAACTAAAAGGTTGGAGGTTCGAGTCTGCCTACAGGTGCCTTGGAAGAAAGATCTGGCAACCTACTTCCAGAAAATTAGCCATTGAAAACCCTTTGGATCACACTTCTACTCTGACACACATGGGGTCTCCGTGAGTCGAAGTTGAGTCGCCAGCAACTGGTTAAAACAAAAAAAAACCACAACTAAACTTTAAGATAATGGCAGATTCCTATCACAAAATAGGAAAGATATAAGAGGTAAAGTACTGATTACAATAAAAAAAGATTAGAGCTTTAAGTGACTTTTGGAGGTGCAGTAAGGCTTTCAGTATTTTGTCTCTACCACTCATTAAGCTGCAAAATGAAAGCACTCATATTATTGTCAAGCTCTGTTAAATGAACATATTCATTTATTTCTTGTTTAAAAGAGGTTTTAAAGTTCTTAAAGTATGCGGTAAAGAACTCAGCTTTTCATGGTAGCTGTTATTTCTTTGTTTCCTACCCTTTGCATGTCACCATTCAGCAACTAAAGCTGATAGTTATCAACTTTACATTTGATACAAACTAAATCTGCACATTGGCATTTTTTTTTTTCTTCTGGAATTAAAGTGTCACTGTAATTGCTCCAGTCATCATGATGAAAGAGTAACTACAGTTTTACATTGTGGTACTTCTATTTTATTCTACTTACTCCTGAGTCAGTTTATAAACATCGGGGAAATAATTGTACTCATTGTTTACATTCTAGAATGCAATAATATAGAAAGTTGTTGCAAGATCCCACTGCATCTTCTCAAACCATGGTTAGTTTTTATTGTATCCCAAGTCTGAAACTACACAAGATCTAATGCAAGAGATGCAGATGCACACCATCCTAGCAGCTGTGTCCTAATTCTGTGTGGCTGTTTATTCCTTTGTGCATTATAACAAAGCCATTGATTGATGTCTGATGCATTAAAAGAAGAGGAAGAGCTTTATAAACAGCAGGGCTTATTACTTAATAATATATGAGGATTGCCTTCCACATGTTTCAGAGAATATATATATACTTTATCATGGAACTGTTAATGAAAATTTGGGGATCATCAACAGTAGTTGCCCAGGTGTTTTTAGACACTGTATAACCTGTGTTTAACCACTCATTATTTGAATTTAATATTTCTATTTTGTTTGAAATGTATACTAACTTATAATGGTAAATAGCAACATGTGTTCTCGTCAGGAATGGGCAAAATCTTACCTATTTAAACTGTTAGAATTACTTGTAATTGAAGTGTGCTTATTTGAACTAGTTTTTAATATATTTATTAGTCAAATCATTGGTTGGATAGTATTACAGCACCCTCCCCCACCCCACCCCCATACACGCACTCACACATCAGAGGTGACTGAGAAATGTTTTGGATTAATAAAATATATCTTGGTTTTACTTAAGCAGTGATTCTCTCGTTTGTAGGAGCCTCCATATCTAAGAATTAACTCTCTGTAGTACTTCCTATGCAATATAGCATATTCTACACTCATTTCTTAGCATATGTTATAGTGATTTTCTGTTTCTAAAAATTTCCAGTGGAAAGAATATTGTAGAAGGCAGTTCGTTTTTTGCAGCTAGCCCGCAGGGGATCAGAGTTGCATACCATATCTATGTCTGTGAAACTTCTTGGAAGCAAGTCAGTGTGTTATAGTGAGATTCGTATGTAAGCTGTGAGCCGTGAAAAGGCTTGCACGATTATGACAGCTATTCTGAGGACAGGGAGCGTTTGGAAATTCGGCAATAAAGCAGCAGCAGCAACAAGCAGCACCAGTGGTAGTAAAGACAGGGCAGCTTCACACTTCGCGTATTTCACAGTGAGAGTCAGTGAGCACGCAGCTTCCCATCCTGCCATCTGAGGAGGGAAACCAAAACCGTGTATTGCAAGATCTTCCTAGTTTCATGTTTATGATGTTAAGTCCTGTGATAATACTGTACCAGAAGTTGCCAACTGCGCTTCACTCTAGAGAGGATCCTTTGCTGCAGTCCTTTTTTTTTTTTTTTTTTGCCTATCTTTTTCTTTCTTCTTTTTTTTTTTGAAAGAGAAAAAATTGTGCAATGTATGTTTATGCCTACACCATGCCGAGGCAACACTTCGCAGTAAATCATCTGTGCATCCCTGAGGTCAGATACTGTTTCTGCTTTCCCTGCACAGTGCTGCTGCAGCACGGAGCGGATCCAAACATTCGGAACACTGATGGGAAGTCAGCCCTAGACTTGGCAGATCCTTCAGCAAAAGCTGTCCTTACAGGTAAGAAGACAGAGGGCTACCGAATCATGGTATTTACGGAGCTACTCGTTTGATGTTGTAAAATCTTTATGTACTGAATTTTTTTTCCCACTGATTAAGCTAAACAAATATATATGCCATCATCTACTGCTTCGTTATTGATTTGCTCTATTAACTGTCTTATTACTAGCTTTGCTGTCAGAAGTATGGATTACTTATTCTACTGAGAATTTCTGAGAAGTATAGCATTAAATGACAACATACATTATTCACTCATACTTTAGTCTTTTTTTTACGGTTTATGTCATAATTTTCCTGAACCTCATCCTCTCCGTTGATTCTTTCCAAGACCTTCACTGTTGAGCAAGCAAGGGCATTTGTATTGCTGTAAAAGTCGTTTTGATCGGAAGGACAACCTGCTGCCTTATTACGTGGATCAATAGTTAAATAAAATATGTTACTGCTCTTCCCTTGACACCCATTTGTATTTTTATCATATGTTTTCACTTGTTTATCATGATAGCTAAGTAATTTTCAGCTGAGGCAATATATAGCTTTTTTACCTCAGATGACACAAATTTTTGACTTAAGTATTAATTTTATTAAGGTAAATGTGAAGAGCCAGCAAAGAGGAAATGTTAGAATACAAAAGATCTCTCATAACAATATAGAAAATAATGCTGTAAGTGATACGACATTGAGCAACTGTTTTCATTGGTCTTCATCCTCAAAATGCTGCATTGGATCTATTTTTGTTTTTATTCTTAGCAACTAAGTTCTGCTCCCTTTGCCCTCTTTTTCTTAACTGACCTTTGCAGTTTGGAGCCTGTTTGTCACTGCAGTGCTAGCAGTATTATTTCAGATTGTGTGGAAGTAAATGACTTTTAACTACCTTTTAAGTTTGCCCATGCTAGAAGAAAATAAATCTTTTGTTCACTTTTAAATTCAGAGTCCATGCTATGCATTTCTAACAGATTCTGAGGTGAATGGACTATGTTTATGTACAGAAAGCTTTGAAAAATATATGCAGGTTTGTTTAATTACTCTGCATGGAAAAACAACTTCCCACTGTGCCGAAATTAATACAATCTCTGCTAAATCAGAGCAATATGATTTTTGTCAATTAATAAAAGGTTAGGTGATTCAGTTGCTGAATCAAGATACCATGCATTAGAGGAATAAAGCTATTTTAATCCAGTGTAGATAAGGAGAAATTTAAATATAAACGTACAATTTTAAAGAATGAAATTAAAATATATAGCCTCAGGCCTTCTTAAAGCCTTTCAGTCTCTTTTTCTAACAAAGCCCCGGGCAACAATCACAGCTTTAGAGTGGTCTCTGACCAAAGAGAAATATAGTCATAGAGGTATATATAAATGCTGACCAAGACTTGTCTCTACAGCTTAGTGTTCTCCCTCTAACCTTTTCTTCTCTTGTTAGATTAATTTAGTTCAATACTGTTTTGAGATCCACGTTCACTTTTTTAAAAGGCAAAGTTTAAATATACATTACTAACAATGAGAAGCTGTCTCCTAATTGGTAAGGAATTTTAGAGGAGACTATAGGCTGTTGGTAGTTTGAGAAAGAGCTGTGGCAGTGGTAACTCACAAAGACTGAAGATTCCTGGAGAACAGCTGCCATAGCTTTTAAACTTCATTCGAAGAGCACCGGGCATTTCACTTTTCTTAGATAGGAAGAGATTAAACTCTTCTTGGTCATAATACTGATTTCATTAGTTGTTCTTTTTAAGAATATCGACTTCTTTGAACATGATACGCAACTTTTCTGATTTAAAAGAAAAGCAAATTTTAATAATAGTTAATTTTGTTGAAAATATAAACTAGTGGTAGTTACACATTTCTGTTAAAGAATGCAGTGAAATAACAGTTAAGTGAAATATATTCCAGAATGTTTTTTCTGCCCATGCAGGTTTTGTACTACACAGGTGTTTCCAGTGGAATTATGGTGGAAGTATTATTTCCAAAGCTAAAGTAAAAAGAGTAAGCATTGATAAAAAGGGTATCTTTTGGAAGGAATGCCTTAATTTAGAATTAGGAGAGGTTCTTCTGGCTGATGTGTCATTCTTTATTTTTATGCCAGATGCAGTTGTGCCACTGCTTTCACTTGAGAGTGAAGTTTCTGTTCTTCATTTTTTCTCTGTGGTAATTTATTTGCTGAAAATCACTTCTCAATACCCACTTTTATGTTACTGCTTTTTCATGCATTAGGCCAGACTGTGTACAGGTGATTTGTATCTTCCTTAAAGGAAGCTGGCAAAGTGAAAATCACATTTTGCAGAACATTAAAAAATATGTGAATGGCTAATACTGTTTTATACAGAAATAATGCCTGGATCTTTACAAAGCTATACAAAGCAACAGTATACCCTTAGTTTTACAGTTAAGGGACTCAGAATATAGCTATTTGCTTTGGATGGTGACCTTAGATATTTAAAAAAGAATAAACCAAAAAACCTAAACCCATTGCTGTCAAGTTAATTCCAACTCACAGCGACCCTATAGAACAGAGTAGAACTGCCCCATAGGGTTTCCAAGGAGTGGCTGGTGGATTCGAACTGTCGACCTTTTGGTTAGCAGTCAGTCTTAACCACTGTGCCACCGGGGCTCCATTTAAAAGAGAATACTTAATTGGAATTGTGTAAGTGAATGATATGGTTAAAAGAAATCATGAGTTTAGTTTAGTTTTGTTTTTTTAATGACTTTGAAGTTCTGAGTAGTCAACTGAAGAACTTGGAGGTGTTGTTTTATTTCCTCCCTTCTTTGGAGGAAATGAGGTCATTAAAAATCTATAACAGTCTATGTATATTTTATTGAGGAGCAGATTTTGGCGTGTTCTGATTTTTTGTTTTTAATAGCATTTTTTGGCAGTTTTTTCTGATGATAAACGGAATGCATTCATTGTGGGAATTAAGGAAAATAGGAAAAGCATGAAAAAGAAAAAAAATCTTAATTCTACCGTCTGGAGATAACCTTTTGGTATACCTTATTTATAGCCTTTTTTCTGTGAGCAACACACCCCACACTCTTCTTTCTCTTTAATGTAATCAGGCTTATACTATATGTGCTGTAAGCAATCTTTTAAAAATATTATTATTAATGTGAACATTCCCAGAAGGCACTAAGTATTCTTCTGCAACATGAGTTTCTAATGACGTCATAGTATGTCCTTCTGTCTTAGTTTTTTGAGCTAATCTTCTAGTGTTTAACATTTAAGTAATAGGTATTTTCAACCTTTATTCTTCCTTGTGAATTTAGAGTCTTTATCAATCCCTTTAAAATTCCACATCTTTACACTGTTCAGTCTTAACATCCAGACATATGGTATATCTCTGCATTCTTGACTTTGAAGTATGTGAGTGCTTGGAGAATAAGGCACTTCGCTTTTAAGAGGCTCCAGTGCCTGTGGTGGTATCATGGGAGAGCCACATTTAAGTTAAAGGTGGTTGACAAAGGGAATGTTCATTGGAGAGGGTGAGGTTGTAGAGGTGTTTGTTAATCATGAAAAGGAGATTCTGTGAGGAAGACTGGAAAGGAGAGAAGGTAGCAGTGGGAGAGTGAGTCAGAAAACAAGGCAGGTGACAGCAGATTGAGGTTAGGAGTTTGGGAAAGGATGGTTGACCAGAGGAACATTTAACATTGACAGGACCAAGGATGATGGCGATGTAAAGTGGGTGGATTTAGAGGGCTACTAGTTTGCCGAGATAATTGGTCCCAGTAGTTTCTTAGTAGATTTAGGGGTAGGAGGGTGGGTGTGACTGTTAAGGTTGTGTGTCGACTTGCCTGGGTCATGATTCTCAGTGGTTTGGCAGTTATGTAATGATGTAATCACTTTCATAATGAGATCTGATATAAAGTGATCACCTTCCTGATGGAATCTACTGTGAGCAGCCAATCAGTTGAAAGGGAATTTCCTTGTGGATGTGGCCTGCGTCTGATATATGTGGACTTTCTGGCAAAGCTTGTTGGCTTTTGCTCTGCTCTGGATCCTGCATTCAGCTCATCAGCATCTGACCTCAAGTTCTTGGGACTCGAGCTAGCAGCTTACCTGCAGATCTTGGGATTCGTTGGCCTCTGCAGCCTGTGAGTCAAAGACCTGTTGTCTGACCTGCCCATCTTGGATCTGCCAGCCCCTGCAGCTACGTGAGTCAGGAGAAGCCTCCAGCCTGACCCATGGACTTGTGACTTTCCAGCCTCTACAACCTCATGAGCCATTTCCCTAATATTCCTCTTTATTTATATATTTATATGCTTCACTGGTTTTGCTTCTCTAGAGAACCCAGACGAAGACTGTGGGTCTCTCTGTCTCCACTTTTCCTCACTCCATTGTCCTCATTGTAGCTGGAGTGATCTTTCTAAAGCATCAATCACATCATGACACCCATGATCAGAAAATTCTTTAATATATTCTCATTACACCCTGGATAAAATCCAAACCCTTTAACCATGGCCTGTCATGATGAACCCCTGGCTTACATTATCTCTGATCTCATCTTCTTCTATATTCTCCTTTGATCTCTTTGCTTCAGCTACAGCTGGATGCTTGCTGTTCATCAGGCAGATGAAGCCGTTTTTTGTGTCTGGGCTAATACATGCTGTTTACTGAAACTGGAACACTGCTCCTAGAACTTCGCATGGTTCATCAGCCTAATCTCTGCTTAAATGTCTAGTCTTCAGAGAGGTCTTCTTATCCCCCGATGCCATTACCCTACTTGACTTTTTCGTGGATTTACTGATACCTGAAATTGCATTACTTTTATTTGTTTATTTGACCCAATAGAATGAAAGTTTCACAGGGGTTTGGACTTTTGTCTGTCCTTGCTCATTACTTTGTCTTCAGGACTTAGTAGAGTGCCTGGTACATAAAATGATTAAATAAGCAAATACATCTAAGATCTGATTCCTGGTAGCTGAGGGCAGCATGTTTTCCAGGTCCTACAAATACCATTAATCATTTGGCCTCTCGAGCCATATTATAGTAGTCTTACTAACTTTTCTACTTCC